AATTAATTTCATTCTTAAATCTTTTATTCAATATTATAAAATTCTAATTGTAAGAATAAAATAAAAATTTTTCTCTTTCTCTAAATTTCATTTATTGAAAAATCGTCTTTCAATTTAAATTAGTAAAAATTTCTATTAAATGATAGCACAGTTTTCTTGAAAGTATCAAGATACCAAACTGAATCAAATTGATACAAAAAATTTGTGTCAATTTATTATTTAAACCATATTTTTGGTATCAATTCGTAAAAAATTTTAGAGAAAAATTACTAAAATAAAAATTTTTATAATTTTAAATCAGTTGACGACTTTTCACTAATTCGAATTTTCAGAGTTTTTACATTTTATTTTTAAATTTTATTTTATGATTTTAATTTGAATTTAAAAATTAAAAAATAATATAAAATAAAGATTTTCTATGAAAATAAATCATAGCAAAAAAAATCATTCCCGATTTGGAAAATTAAAGAAAGGGGGAATAAACAAAATTGTTTATACAAATAACCTCGGGGGATTACTCGATAAAATAATATATATATATATATAAATAAATATATATATATATATATATATATCATCTGAAAGTTGTTCAAAAGCCTCGCGATCTTTCTCATGTCGACCCTGATATTCCCGCGCACATATATTCGGTTACGCAATATTATACTCTCGACGGTATTCTTCAAAACGACCTTAAGACCTTTTTTTCTCACTTTCGACTCACAATCCCCTCCCTCGAAAAAAATCTCCTACGTTTATTCCTAAGACAAATTATTGTATATAAGAAAAAAATATTCTCAAATTATTCCAAAATTTAATTATTTATACTTCTAGTTAATTTAAATATTTATCCATTTTTCTAATTTTTATTGTTGCTTATAATTTTCAATCTATAAAAAAAAAGAATTTCTATTTATTTACTAGTGTTGTTTTATTGTTATTCACTTTAATTGTTACCTAACTATTAAATAATTAAATTATTTTACTAATTTCTTAATAGGAATTTTTAATTTGATTTCTCTTCTTAAATTCTAATTCAATTAAACAAATTTAATTTAATTAATTTTAATTGATTATATCTTACTAAAAATCATTTGGAAATTTTTTTGTCAATTTAAAAAAATTGTTTTGTTTTTATTAATTTCTGGAGTAAAATATATTCGCGAAGAAATTTTCATTGCCCTCTGTTTTCTGTACTTTAAGATACTTTTCGCATGTAATCCTCATTTCGGTAAAAAAAAAATCCCTAAAATTAAAAAACGTTTCGCTCGTATAGGAAACGTTTCGCTTTTAACGTACTTTTTTTACTCTCAACGGAACTATAAAATTTTTTGCACTCGTTTTCATTTCTCTTAGTCTTGAAGGAGAATCACGAAAATCGAAAATATTAAAGCGTAATAAAAAGGTAAGTAAATGAATAACATTTTCTTCTTTTATCTACAAATGCTACAGGAAAATACTTTGGGGAAAAAAGGGTTTTCTGTGACAATTTTTCAGAATTTTTTTTCCTGATGATTTAGGAATTGAACCTCGTGGGACTTTATCATATGTATGACTTTATACTTTTGTGAGAGATATCAGCGATTTATGTACAACTATATGTGAAATATACATATAGTAGTAGAATTGAACAGTATTTAATCCTTTCGACTTCAAGGCTGCTTTCAAGTAACAAGATTTATCAAGTTTTTTCCTTTTTTTTCTTTATAATATCCCCTCGCCCTTATCTATAAATCACGACAAATATATATAAACTCAATTTACTCGTAAACTGACATTATGCAATAAATTACTCTTAGTTGGTAATTTATGTTATGTTTTTTAGTATTTTATTTTAAAAAATAAAGTTCTCCATCCCATATAATCATCAATCGATCTTGACGCTTCTTGTCACTAAAAAGCTAATTCTTCTTGAAATTATTTTCACACTAACCTTTTTTTTGGGTAATATTTGCAACAGTTTAAAAAAATACATTTGGTAAATACTGACTCACCGGTAATCCATAAATCCATAACTTAGATCCAACTTTCTTTAAAACATCAAACAAGGAGAATTGTACATGAAATCCTTTTATTTTGGAAAGGGGGTAAAATTCGAAGCACTTCAAATCACTGGGAATTTTTCTTGTTCTTCAATCACAATTCACAAATTCTGAAAAATCACAAATTCAAAAAAGCGTCAGTAGTGTGTTTTTTAAATATGTTCTTAAGAAATTGTAGAACAAATTAATTTCAAGTCTCATATAGTAGAACAATTATTGTAAATAATGGAAGAGGAGGAATAAAGTTGAATTGTTTGTGTGATTATATTTGTGAAAGGGGTTAGAGAAAAAAGGGGAAAGACTGTGTGTGGTGTGGCACGTGGTTTTGCGGCGACACTTTGGGCTTTGCCGAGCCACGCGTGTCGTGTGCTTGTAAACGCGCGTTCGACTGAGAGTCAAACTAGTTCCGAGTCCCTGGATTCGCTCGTGCTGTTCTTCCTGCTCGTTCTGCGCCTCTCCCTTTCTCACTCACTCTCTCTCTCTCTCTTTCTCTCTCCCTCTCTATCTCAACGCTATTTTTCTATCACTCCTTCTCCCCCTTTCTCCCTCATTCGCAATCTCGTGCTCCTCTTCTTTCGCGACCCTTTCTTCCCTTACTCTCTTTCCTTTTCTCTATAACAATTAAATCCATCAGCACTTTTCCCAAGTTTTTTCCTCACTCTCAACAACTCTTTCCCCTCTTTCTCTTTTCACTTCTACTACAGCTTTCATTTTTCTAGCATCTATTCTATTCTCTCTCAATATTCCCAAATTGCACAAAATTCTTTCTTTCGAACTTTATTCAGTTTCTCTCTATTTCAAATTTTCAAAATTAGGCTTCTTCAGGGTTATCAATTTCCCTGACAATTTACTGACATTAAAATTATTTTCCCTGCCAAAATTCTTTTTACAGAAAAATATGAACGTTTACGAAAAATGAATTTTTACTCATTTTTCGTAAAACATTCACATTTTCCTTTATTTTATGAATTTTAATAATTTCTAAAATTTACAATTATAATTCTTCCTGAATTCAATTATTTTCTACAATTTTCAACTAAACTTCATCTCCGAATCAATTAATTTAAATAATTTTCCAAAAGTTCTTCTAGAATAATTCAATTATTTAAATACAAAAACTCAATTTTTTATAATAATTGTAACTCTCCATAGTTTTTTCTTAAGTTATTTTTAAATAATTTTTGAAAAGATAATAGTTTTCCAATTTTGAAAAATGTCCAAACAATTAAAATTTGGTAAAATCTTTTGAAAATAATTGAATTTTTGAAAAATATAAATAGAAATGATCAAATTTTTGAAGAAATTTAATTATAAACAGGACCAAGATTTTTCAAAAATTTTAATAAGTCTCAAAAAGTAAATTTTGAATCTAAAAAAATTATTGCAAAACAATTCTAATAATTAGTTTTTAAAAATATTTTAATGTAATTTTTCGAAAATAATTGAAGAATTTTTGTATAATTTAAAAAAACTAATTAATTTTATGATGACTTTTAATTAAAAATTTTAAACATGATTGTTTTCTCCAAAATGTTAAAAATAATTCTATAAAATGTTAGTATTTTTGTACGTATTTGAATTTTTAGAAATATGTAATTAAAAATACTGAAAATATTGGATTTTAAGAAATTAGAAGCTAATTTTCATTAATTTTCATTTTTAAATTTATTTTTAAAGATTTTTCATTAAAATTTTTGATAATTCAATATTATTTTCAAAATTTGCAATTAAAATTCTTCAAAAGTTGATTTTCAAAAATTGGTAACAAAATACTTGAAATAAATTAATTATTTTCAATTAAATTTCACAAAATTTCAACTATTCAAAAAGATTTTAATTATAGATGTATTTGATTTGTTTATAGTTATTTTTCGCATTATAAAAATCAAAATAAGTTGCAATTTTTTTAGTAAAAATTGTATTTTGTTGCAATGTTTGGAAGTAAAGTAAAAAAAGTCGCAATTTTTCAAAATAAGTCGAAAAATTTCTCAATTTTCTTAATTTTTCTGACAGAAATTTTTTTCCGGACATTTCCCTGACTTTACTGACAAAAAATTTGTTTCCCTGACATTTTCCTGACTTTATTGACAAAAATTTTGTTTCCCTGACTTTACTGACATGTGAAGAAAAATATTTCTTTTTTTAGTTATATTTCGGAGCCAATTCTATAATCGAAAAAAATATTTCATTTTACAAAAGTACACTGAGAAAAAAATTTGATTTGAAGCAAATACCATTTGCCTCAAATAAAAATTATTTGATTCAAGTAAATATTTATTTGATAGACAAGTAATCGGTTACTTGAATCAAATTTTTTTTCAGTATATTTGCTAGAATTAGATAAAATATTTTGCTACAAAGATATTTATTAGAAATAAAGAAAAAAAAGATTCAAAGGATAAAGGAAAGCAACTGAAAAAATTTAAAATAAAAAATAAGAATATTTAATCACTAAAGCGGGATTTGGATCAAATAAATCCGAGTGCTTCTTGTAGTGTTAAAATATCTCAATTTTATTTATCCTATTGACTTAGAATATTTATTTAACATATAACTGCATTCAATAATTTTTTTCGTCGTTAAATGAAGTTATCCGACATTTGCAGTGGTTTTTAAAAAAAAATCTACTTTTGCAAATTTTCTTAACTGATAATTAATTAATTAATTAACTAATTGATAATTAAGAAACTGTATAAAAAATAGTTTTTTTTAACTAAACCGAAAATTCCTCTCCCCCTTTTCCCTGTTGCCTTTCATCATTCTTTGCATCCTATAAATGGTTATTTAGATTTACCTGCACTTTCATCTCCATTTATTTTCTTTCTTTCTTTCTTTCTTTTTCGGAAGGGCCGAAACGCAGCAACACTACAACGAACGAGAGAGATAATAACTCGTACGTGCCATAACTTCTCCTTGAGGTAGGTTAGGATCCTGAACTTAGAGGTATTAGATTTCGGCATCATCCTTTTTCCACTATTTGAAAGTTTGCTATTCCTTTTTCATTTTATTTTTATTTTTATCCTTCCAAGAGTTCAAAATTCAACTCGTGAGTCACAGCCAGGGACATTCACTCTCCTTTATTTTAATCCAGTGACGTCTCCAAATTATTTGCCTGAAAAGAGACAATAATGAAAATGATCTTGAAATAAAAAAGAATTTTATGAAAAAGAATTGTTCAAAAAATATGGTTAATTTCAAAATTCACAAAAGTGAATTACTTTTTCACTTTTATTTTCAATATTAATGAAATTAATATTTCAGGATAATATTAACATTTATTATTAGAAAAAAATTTGAATATACTGAAACACAATATTTAATGAGAGGGAACGAAAGGGAGTGAGAGAGAGAAAAAAGAATCATAACATAACCAGGATGTTATAAATTGCAAATAAGTGACGCAGAAAGGAACCTCACTTCATCGCAATTACAATAGATCCACATGTCTGCTACAGATAGTAAGAACCAAGGATAAATTAATTTGCTGTGAAATACGACGCATCGCGCGAGAGGTGTAAGTATAATCCCAACATACCTTCCCTATCCCACCTGATGTATACATACACACACCACGTATTCTTTAATGCTTTCCCTAGTTACATCGAGAGGAGAATTTATTCCAGCAAATAATGATTTACCCACCCATGTGAATCCGTAATACCTTTCTTCCTCATTCAACCACAATATTTATCACATCTACATACGTGTAGAAAATTTTAAAAATCAATTTCAAAAAAATAAATCCTCTCCCTTGAATTTTTCCTTTCCTTCAAGCCAACCACTAAAAAATTATTTTTCAAAAAACGTTGAAAAAAAAATTCTCAACATGATTATTACAAAAATTACATACGCACTATTATGGGCTCAAAGAGAATTGTGCAATTATTTGGAAATTGACATTATATAAATAAATTTGATTCTAGAAAAATACGCGACGAAAGGTAATTTTCTAAAATGGGATTAAAATAAAAATTAATTTTTAAATTGAAGAAAAATAAAACAAATACAATTGTTAATTGCAACGTTTAAATGTAGGAAAAAAATTATTACTTGGAATTGCAATTTATTGAAGCTGTTATTGAATAAAATTGCTATTTACCGGAATTAAAATTTAATTTGCCACTGATTGAAATTATTTTTTCGAATTATTATTAATTTCCACCATTATTATTGAAAGCAAAATTGTATTAAATTACTGTTTGTAATTATCATTTTTTCGAAACACTAAAAGCATTTTAACAATTAAGTTCAATGATTATTAACTACATATATACTATTAAATATATTTCTCTCCTTTACATTTATATAATTATAATATAATTAAAAACTAAATTATTTAGTTTTTACTTTTTCTTCTCCAAAATTTTTTTTCAATTTTTCAATTTGTTAAAAAATATTCCTACACCGTTTTCGAATTAATTTTTATTTCAAAATTCAATTAAAATTCGAAATTTATTTCATTAATTTCTGAATTTATTTATTGCTTCCTCATATTTAAATTTAATTTATTTATTTAAATTAATATTTTTCCCAATTAAAATAATTTTCTGTGTGTTAATATTGGAAAAGTGAAAACTTTTTAAAAATTTACTATGAAAAAAGTAAATAATTAAATATAAAATTACAAACAAAATGAAATTCTCACTCTTATAAAAATGTCAAAGGATTCTTGATTGAGAGTAAGGAAAAAGTGAAAGAAAGGAATAGAGAGAAAGAAAGAAAGGAAAATTAGAAAGAAAAAAATACTTCCTACATTTGATGCTTAAATTATGCATGACTGATAAACCAGAACACTCAACTCCGCAGAAAATGGAAAGTAATGATTCAGAATCTGACGTAATATCAAACTACAATTTTTCAATCTCTCATTCATCATCACTTTTATCAACGAGATCAAATACCACTGCATTCAATGGAATGCGAGAAGAAATTTTAAATGATTAAAAAAGATATTCATTCGACTATCAAAACAAATGCGAAAGAATGAAAAGAAAAGTTTGAAAGAGTGGCAAAAGAATTAAAAATGGAGAAACAAATTCGAAACCAAAAAAATTTGGTACGAAATAAAAAAAATAGAAACAAGAGAAAACAAATTGTTTTCTCTTGTTACTATTTTTTTTATTTCGTACCAAATTTTTTGGTTTCGAATTTGTTTCCCTATTTTTTTACAGAAATAACACGAAGTCCAAAAAAGTAAAATACAAAAGAAAATTTTTGAAAGAATTTTAAAAGTAGAGATTCGAAATAGAAAAGCAGAAGAAAATTTGCAAGAACAAAAAAAAAAGAAATCTACAAAAAAAAATTTTTTTGAAATTAGAAATAATTAAATAGAAGAAAATTTAAAATTCCCTTAGTAACGAAAACATCCATCAAACTGAAATGAATTCATTTTACAACCGAGTGTCAAAAATGATTTTCAAAGTTTATTTTGCAAAAATAAAACAGGTTTTTGACTGTGTTTTTTTTGAGGGGGGAGGGACAAATTTTTCGTGACGTCAGAAATGAAGGTGTTCGCCTGAAAAGAAGTTGTTGGTACTGAGAGGATGAGAGAATGAGGAGGTGGAGGCACACAGGTTCACTTTTGCCGTTCGTTCACCCTAGCGGGGGCACCAACCTGGCTTTACTTCAGTTACTCGCTGAGAGAGCCGACGCAATGTACAGGGTTACCATAAAGTAACTTCCCCACCTCGATGCACAATATCTCTGTAACGGCACATCGCGGCTAGTTGAAATTTCAGAGCGCTATCTCCAGGATTATTCCTCATAAAAAGTGCAACCCTGAGGTTAAAAGCAAAAAAAAAAGAAGAAGAGAAAAAAATGTATGCCCTATCAGAAAATGATTGGAATTTAGGTTTTTAGACGTTCACATTTTTCAAATATCTCCTCTAAAAGGAAACTTGCAAACACCTTTCTTTTTTTTTTTTTTGCTCTCCTGAAATCACATGGTAAATTCAAATTATTATTCACTAAACTATTATGCAAATTTTTTTAAAAATTAAATTGAAAACTATTTTTATATTTTACTCCAAGCGGGAAAAAATTAATTAAAAATACAAGCTTTTTACAATTTACGAAAGAGTTATTTCTATTTGAATTTTTTAACAATTGATCGAAATATCTCAAGTGAAACAAATAGAAATATTTTCGATTAAAAAGTAAAAATTAAATAATTTCTTTGTAGGAATTGTGAATAGTAAATTTAAAAAACAAAAATAAATTTCGAAATTAGTTACGATTTCAACTATAAATATTATTTTTCTACTCTCCTAGTTTTCTACGAAATTATTTTCAATATTCTAGGACTCAATAGAAAAAGAAATCCCCATCATTAATTAAGAATTAAAATTTGAGATTTTTTTCTAAAATAAATTTTTATTTTGAATAATTATTCAAAAGAAAAATTTATTTTTGCGATTACTGGTAAAATTTAGAAAAAAATCTCAGAATCTATTAATAATATTTTGTCGACTACCAGAAGAATTTAAATTAAAAAAAGAATGTTTTTCTCTCTTTTTTTCATGTTAGAAAATTAGATAGACGCCTAATAAACTTTTAAGTTTGCAGGTTGGAAAGTTACTCTGAGATAAACCTGTATGCAGGCAAACATACTCTTCTCGTGTATGCCACGCTGTGTACTGAGTGTCCAGGTCGAGCAGATGCAATTCCATGGCACTTTTTTTTTTATCAAACAGCCGGGAAGCAAGAGAAAGGAGAGAGAAAGAGAGAGGATCTGCCACGATATAGAATTAAAGAGAGTTTGTGAAAGAGGAAATTCAAATAGAAATAGATAAGAGACACAAAAGAGTTTCAAATCATTTCATATATAAATGTATATATAAAAAGAGTCAATGAACTTTTTATACATAGAAAGAGAGAAACAGCTATTAAATTACACGCGAGAAACAAAAACATTGGCAATTTGATAGAAATTTCTTTAATAAAAACTCATAAATTTCTTCAATTACCTATAAAAGTGTCAATTTTTCATAAAACTGTAATTTATAAAGAATGACTTAAAGATTTATTTAAATAACTCACTTTGTTTATTATTATACAAATATTTATAAATAATTTAATATTATAGAAAAGAAAGATTTGTTTTTCAATTTAATCGAAATTTTTCTATTTCAATTTCAATTTCGTTTTGCCCAATATCTTTATTTTTATAATTATATTTAATATACTTTACATGAATTTATAATTATAGTTTTCATAAATATAGTAATACATTTAAGTAAATCATTAATATAAATTTAGTATTAAAAATTAGAAATTAGTTTACTTAGTTACTACTGTTAATTTAACTATATTTAGTTCTTTTTCTATTTTAAATGTAAATTTATTCATCAAAGTTCTCAAAGAAAAGGAAATAGTAAATTTCATTCAGAATCAGAATTGAATTGAAAAACAAAAGTTTCTTGACCCGATGCGTCAAGATAGAAAAAAGCTTATTAATTAAAACAAACGATTTTGTTCTGTCAGATATATTTAAATATTTAGAAAACAAAAGAAATTTATAATTTTCTTATTGTAAAAATGTGTTTTTAAAACAAAGAGTTGAGATTTTTTTTATAAAACACATTTCTAAAATAGAAAATCAATGAATTTTTTTAAATATACTTAAATAATTAATGGTACTATTAATAATAGTGAATTAAAGAAAAACTGATTTTCTATGGATTTAATTTAATTAGATTTAATTAAATAAAAAGTATGTAGAAAAATTTGAACAAATTTGATTTATGAAAATATAAAAATGTAGTTATTCTTCAATTTGAAGTTGAATTATTAATGAAATTAAATTAAAAATTTATAATTACCAATCTTATCGAGGGTGTATCGGTTCCAGTTTCCGTTGGACTGGATCTTTGCTGTTGATGTGAATAACTGACATCCATATCCATTTCATCTAATTCCTCTTCCTCTTCTTCATGAGTGTCTGATTCTTCCTCCTCCTCACCCTCACCTTCTTCCTCTTCTTCCTCCTCCTCCTCTTCCTCGGATCCACGAAACTAAAAATAAAAATTTAATTATCCTCCTCGAATTCATTGCTCCTAAAATCAAAATTAATCTCCAACATTTTTATTATTTAAAAGGTTTGAAAATAATCTTTTTTACATTAGAATTTAAAAAATATTATTACTATACACTAAAATCAAATTTATTCTCTACTTAAAATTTTTATTATTTAAGAGGTTTGAAAATAATCTTTTTTATTTATGTTGATTTTAGGTTATTTCTTTTACAAAAAATGCTCCACTTTTTACTATAATATTAATAATCCCCAAATATTTATTTCTTTGACACGACTTTTAAGGTTATATTAACGAAATTAATCTTCGCATCGAAATTTCAGAAACAAAATAGTATATTTCGTAACGAGTGCGAGCAATTGTCAATTTTTGAATGAGCACTTTTTTTGGAACAAACTGTAGGCGAAGCGAAGCTTCGCCTACAGTTTGTTCCAAAAAAAGTGCTCATTCAAAAATTGGCAACTGCTAGCACTAGTTACGAACGATATTTTTCATAACAAGGTGCAAAAAAGTGCCCTTTTTTGCACCGCGTTATGAAAAAAGAATTTATTTAATTGTCGTCACAATAATTAATCATATTTCTTACCTAATAAACACTCACGACAAGAAATCATCACAAATAATTCAACAATGTTTCATATTTAAGAGAAAAAAACCGTTAAATATCGATTTTTAAAGTTCGCAAAGTTTGCTACTTCCCCCTCCCACTTCCGGATACAAATCAATATTCAATATTATATTATCTATTCTTCATTTTATAGAAAAAGTTACACCAACAAATATTCTTACAGAAAAAGACCATTTTGTTGAGTTTTACACATAAATAAATATCAAATATGAACAAAAACATTCGTTGTAAACGTTGTAAATAACGACGCCATCTTTTTTTAAATTTTTAACGTATTTTTGTAAAATTAATTGCAAAATTCAGTCAACTCCTGTAGGTATGCAACCCGACATACAAGTAAATTTTTTCCACATATTTTGTACTTTTTTATGTTAATTAATATTTTACCCCGATAATATAACTAAATAACTTAGTATTTATGACTTATTTTTCAGTTAAACAATAAATTTACCAATATTAACAGCTAAAAAGTATAAAATAAGAGATTAGTGGGATTAGTGACAACTTACATCTCTGGAATCCTTGCCAATTGGAACATGTTCAGAGCCTTCTGATCGAATTTCTTCTCGCTGAAAAGTTACAAAAACGTTAAAAACATATAAAAAAAAGTTTAAATACATAATAATTGGGTGTAAATCGAGAAAAAAATAACAAGAAATACCCAGTGTTGATGTTCCAATTCTAGTGCGGCGACTTCACTTTCGTCGTCAATCGGTCTGTCAGCATTAAACCACAGTGGATCCGTTGACCTCGGTTGCAGATTCGGCCACAGAGGCATAAAAGACATCGTGAAACTTTGATTATTAATTAGAAATACACAAAAATATGCAGAAATTCAACACTTTAATGTGATGACGATCACCATTATTAAACAACTCTGATCAGCTTTCGTTGCACGTGCGTGAAGTTAGCCGAGTGTGCAGCCACCTGACGGGAGGCAGTGGAACTAACGACTGGCGGCAAATTTTAAAATGCCTAAATTTCTTTCTTTATAAATTAATTTTTTTTATGAGAAAAATAAGAAAATTACCAAAAATAGAGTTTATAAAAGATAAAAAATAGTGTTTATATTTTTAAATTGTAAATTCTATTAAAACAAAGTAACTATTTATGGAATAATCTTTGAAACACATATATCTTATGGCTTAACTCATTACAACAATGGTGAAAGTGACAGTTGGAAGAACACCCCAAAGAAAGCAACATATGTTTCGACACTACTTTGATAAAATTAATTAATTTCTTTATTAAAGAAAAAGATTTTATCGATTGAAATATATTATATGAAAGGCCAGTAAGTGGCACTATCTTACGGTTTTAAATGGAAATAAATAGTCACGTGTTCTCTGCAGCAAATTTCTGAAACTTCTGGTGAATGTTCTGAGATCTCTTGATTGCTCTTGATCGTGGTGATGGTAAAAGGGTAAAAGGAAAGTAGCTATGAACAGTTTATTAATGGGTCGCCGAGTTGTTGCTTAATCGTGAACAGTGACGATTTGGAAGTTGTAGATTCCTGAGGTTCTAATCATTGTAAACTGAATATACTTGAACAAAACGTCGTGACATAACCTCTAACTTTGAAAAGGTGAGTCTAATTTTGTATATATATATAAATTTTTTCCCAAAAAAAAACTATTTGGCTTTTGATTATTTTATTATCTGGTCATTTTCATTGCTCTTATCAATTCTCTGGTATTTAGGTTGTCCAACTACTTAAGAGAAACTCAAACTATTATCTATTGTGACTTTTGCAATTATCAGCACTTATTTTAGAAGATAAATTTATCACAAAAGATTCAAAGTTTTTGTTTTATAATTTTTAATTATATTTTGTTGTTTTGCTTAGCTTATTGTTTTTCATTTAACAAAGACTTTTTTCTTTTTGTTTTCATCATGCAATCCTTCTTTTTTATCTACTTGCCCTAATTAAATCTATTTTTGTTTTATATTTTGATTGCAATATTATTTTTATTGAAAAGAAAGTAGATTTTTAATTATGTACCTTATTTCTGCTATTTTTTATTTGTTAGTATGAATAAGTTATATTGTATAATATTAATGTGTATGTAAACATATGTATAAATATTATACAATTAGAAGGAATTTAAAAGTCAAATTATTCGTGTTTTCTTTGCGTTTTTAAATTGTTCACTACATGAAAAGGAAAGTGAAAGTGTTTTAAAGTTTGGAAGGAATATTTTACTTTTGCTTATTACACCTCATATATTATAATAATGAACTGTGGTGTATAATTAATTATATCAATCAAATCTGATTTCTTTTTAATTCACCTTATGTTAGAAGCATAAAATTTGTGAATTTAAATAAAACTAATATAATAGACAGCAAAAATGCATTTAACTTTATTCATATCTTTCGAATAAAATTAAGATAACATTATAAGTTTTTTTTTCATTATTAAAAATTTTGTTTTCCTACGTAAAAAAATCTTTTAAAATACATATTTTCTTTTAAATCGAGCAATGAATACGATAATTTTTTTTTATTTTCAAGGTATATAAATCTTGGTAATCTTTTTCGTCTGATACAAAATAATTGGAACTAATTCGACAGTCATTGATACAATTGGAATCAATAAAGAATAAACTGAGGATTAACTTTTCAATTAAAAATTTCAACATTAATATCACTGAGAGCATTTAATTTAACTAAGAATATTATAAATATTTTAGCATAAAAAATTCTATGTATTTTTTATTTTTTTTAATTAAAAGAAATTTTTTTCTAACTCTTTTAAACTTCAATTAAAAGTAGATTTTAAATTTAAAAGTGTTTTGAATTAAAATCATATTCTGGTATCACCTTTTTGTACGGCATTATCGATCTGTTTTCAGAAGATTGTGGAGAATTTCAATAACACGAGTGCCTTAAGCGAAGGAATTTCTTTAATAAAAAAAAAAGAAAAAGCCATTCTCAGAAGATCGTTATTATGAAAATAATTAGCATCGTTTAATAATATTTTATTACAGTCTATTGAATATAAAAAAAATGACTTTTTAGGTCATAGATTAAAACGACAAATTTTGCGGTATCAACATTAAACCACACGTTTAACCATTTCTTCCTGTTTATTATTTTTATAAATTAAAAACAGAATATCAATTATTAATTTTATCAACGACAAATCTTTTTTGTTTAAATGTATATTCATGCAATAACAATATAAGAATAAAATCTTTTTTTAACTTACTAAAATTAAATTACTTACTATCTTCTCAAGATTTATAAACAAGTTTAGAATTTCTAGAAAAATTTTTATTTTTTTGTAATTTAATATCCATTAACTTAATAGTTCATCAAAATTTATTTCATTTAAATTCATATGTCATCAAAATAATTAGAAACTAACAGAAAATATTGTATATTTACTAGTTTTGTTCATTATCGCGCACTATTTGGATAAAAATTTTATTTATAACAATTTTACCGTAAATCGAAAAGGAGGAAAAAAATTACGAGATTCTTCACTCATAGAATAATCAGACCTTGAAAAACCGGAATTATTGCGTTTATCGTTTAAAATAACATTTTTGTAGGTAATAATATTTTTTTATATTCATGTTTATTTATTTTAATGAACAAATTTTATTAAATCCAAACAAAATAAGACCAAACAAATTTTATTCTATTGAAAATTATGTTACAAAAATTATTTTCTTAAGGAATAAGAATTAATAATGTTAACAATAAATTTAGAATATGGAAAATTTTTTTCGAAATTGAAAAGTAGAAAATTGAAAATATTATTAAATTTTTAATAAATTGGTTTATAAAAAATAGAAGTTGTTACTGTTAAAAAATATGTTCTATACGTTGTAAAATATTGTTTTAGTTAGATTCTGTACTTCTATATACTTTAGAAAGTATACCAATACTTTTTTACCATTTAATGCCTTTGATAGTAACGTTTCCTTTCTTTTTTATTCGTAATACAAGTACCGTTGATTTATTGGATATTAATACTTTTCAAAACATGTTTCATTTGTTTCTATTATAATTTTTTTCCAATTTTCCCTTCAAAAAATTATTTTTTAATTTTTATTATTGTCTTTAGAAAAAGCGATTGATTTAATTAATTACTTTTAATAATTTTTTCATGTAATATTAATTCGTTTCTCTATTAATTATGACAATTGTTAAATGAAAAACAATTGTTAGATAAAAACGATTATTAAACAGAAGACAATTGTTAGATAAAAAATTATAAAAAAATTAAATTATTAAATAAAAAACAATTACTAAATAAATATGATGCATAAAGTCAGAATTCAAATTTAAATTAGTTTTACTCTGTTAAGTAAGGAAGTCGTGATTTAGTTGAGTTAACGGTTCAACATACATCAACATCACAAATGGATGGTTCGTTGCAAAGATATTTCTCCATAACTTAACATTATTTATTATTTCACTATATTTACGCGTATGAAATTAATTTTTTTGCAAAAAAAAAAATTTAAAAGAGACGACTTTTTATAAACTTGATTTATTCTGATTGCAATTTACTGAATTTTTGGATAAAAAAATCTTTTAATTAAATATACAATTTTTTGGTATTAATTTCCGTTTTTTAAATATTTCTCAAAAGAATAGAATTTATAATTTTGTTTTTGAATTGAAAATAATTTGAATTTCTAGAGTATAAAAAAATTTTTTCTATTGAGAATAATTTTAATTTTTCCAGAATAAAAGTAATTTTCTTTCAAGAAGATAATTTTTCGGAATTTTAATTGCTGATGTTTATTTTGCAGATGTCGCACAATCATATGATGCTCACGTTAAATTCTTCCGGCGGTCATATGGATCATTCGGCCATGGATCATGGAAATCAGGACCATCATATGGATCACGGGAGTATAAATCATGGCGATCACAGCACAATGGATCACAGTGGTCACGAAATGTCTGGATGCGGTGGCGATCATTCAATGCATGGAATGATGATGGTAAAAAAAAAGAATTTAATCCTTAAAGAACGATTTTTAATTAATTTTCTACTGTTAATCTTTTTTTCTTCTTTCTTTTTTTTCAAATAATAGGCCTTTCACGGTGGATATTGCGAAACAGTTTTATTCGAATGGTGGAAGATTTCATCCGTCGGCGGACTCATTGGCTCTATCATTGGAATTATTATAATGGCCGCTCTTTACGAAGGACTCAAATATTATCGAGAATATCTCTTCTGGAAAACGTACAATGCACTTCAATATCGAAGTGTTACAATGCCACAGGAAAAGAATGTTGTTGCTGAGGATAATCGCGTTGTACAGTAAGTATTACTTTCAAAAATCGAATAATCAGGTCTCGAACTAGGTTTGTAAATTTGCTTGAAATCCGTAAAAATCAGTTTTTTTGAAAAAATGTCCGTAAAGTCCGTAATTTGATTAAGAAAAGGAAAAGTTCGTAAATTTTACGATATAATTTGGAGAATTTTAGAGAAACTAAAAATTAAGACAGAAATTTAATTATTTTTAAAAGTAATAAAATTCTTCGCAGAAATTCAATTTCAATTTCAAATTCAAAATTTTTTTTAAATTCTCGTCAGAATTACAATTATCTTTAGAAATAATTAAACTCTTCTCAGAAATTCAATTATTTTCAAAAATTTTCCTCAATTCAATAAATTTTAATAGCTACTATTTTAATAAAATTATTTTTAAAAAATTTAATAAAATTCTACGCAAACCTTTCAATTATTTTCATAAAATAATAAAAATTTCACAAGAATTCAATTATTTACAAATTTGTTATAAATTTCTTTGCAATAATTCAATTATTTTCATAAATAATAAAATTTTTGTACGGAAATTCAATTATTTTCGTTAAAAATAAAATTCTTTTTAAGAATTCAATTATTTTCATAAACAGTAAAACTCATTGTAGAATTTCAATTAGTTTTAATACAATTTCAATCAAATTTTTCGAAAAATGTAATTATTCTTAAAAATTTAATTAAAATTCGTCAAAAGAATTCAATTTTCAGAAACATGCAATTATTCAATAAAGTGTTTTTTTTTGTAATTAAATAATTCAATTCTAGTAGAATTTTCTAATAAAAATTGATTTAAAAATGTATTTCAGTAAACAAATGAATTTGAAAATTCTCAAAGAACTTTTTCGAAAATTATTAATAATAATCGATTTAAAGAAAAATTTTAGTTAAAAATGTTTGAAAATAAAATATAATTTATAGTTTTAAGTAAAATGTTCTCTTATTTTACTCGAACTGGTTATATTTTTGTCAGTAATTGGTCCGTAATTTTTCATTGTTGGTCCATAAAGTCCGTATTTTTAAATACTTTCACTGGTTCGAGCCCTGAGTAATTAATTAAAAAACCAAAAGAAAAAGAATCTTAAAAAATCTAAAGAAACCTAAAGAAACCTAAAACGACGTTTACCGATAATTTATGGATGATTTTCTAATTTTTATCTTTACAGTATGGTCGGTGAGGTTATCCATAAGCAACCGTAAGTAATTTTAAAAGCGGAACAACAAGTTTTTGTGTCTAGAAAATTTATTTCTTTACTTGCAAAATTTTCTCTGGTTTTTGCACCTTTTTTTCACTTCACAGCAGAATTTTGAAATTATTATTTCTCCCTTTTTGCATGAATTTTTCCTCTGGGATCTCTTCTTTATATTTTACGATTTCTAGACTCATGATCTTCTGACTGAAAATATTTTAGTTCTCTTTCTATTTTTTGCAGTTTTTCTCTTTTTATTTTCGAGAAAAAAATTAATTCTTTTCTTTGTCCCGCAGGCCAACAATGCTGTCTTGGATGCACACATTCCAAACATTTTTACACATCATACAAATCGTTCTCTCGTACTTTTTGATGCTGATCTTCATGACATACAACGTTTGGTTGTGTTTTGCTGTTGTATTAGGAGCGGCTATAGGATATTTTCTTTTTGGTTGGAAGAAATCCGTTATTGTTGATGTTACGGAACATTGTCATTAGTGAAGAATTAAAAATAAACCACAAGTAAGTTCCTACCAGTGGAATATGCGAGTATTCTTTTCTTTTTCTTTTGGTGACAGAAAGAAAAAGAAATCAAGAGGAATACTTTATAGTGTTAATTTTAAATTGCTTGCTATAACAATAATATTGTAAATTTTTAAAATTAGTTTTTGTAATTTTGTCAAACGCTAGTGACAAAATTTCAACGAAAATAAGACTAACGATTGTAATTTTATTTTTATTTTTCTTTGTAAAAGAAAATTTTTAGAAATTATAGACTACTCGAAATAGCAAAATTGATTGCTATTTTGAATATCAAAACACGACTATAAAATTTGTTTATGAATCAATTCTTCCGCTATTTTTTCGATAGCGAATTTTTATTGTATGAATGCGACTAATTTAAAGAAAGTATTAAAAGCAAGAGTTGATCTCTGAAATTAATTGTAAATACTACAAAATTATGTGTATAAGTTTTTTAGACATATTTAGATCGCACACTTCTTTAAATTAAAAATGATAAATTCTTTCTTGGCTATTAATTACTTAGTCAATATGTATTATTTCTTTTTTGTTAAAAATTGTAATTATTTATATTAAATTTGTATTTTAAGGACAATTTTTATCTCTTTTTAAAAAAATTCACGTTTATTTGATAAAATTGTAAAACTCGAGACGACGCATGTGTGTGTATGACTGTTTTGTGAATAATTGTATTAGAAATGGGTTAAAGAATGAGATTAGAAAAATATATTTGAGTCAAAAAATTTCGATTTATTTATTTTCATTCAAAAAGCGTTTAAAAATTTGTCAAGGCGTCGTTTTAAATTAAATAAAGTAGGCAAGCGTTATTATAAAGATAAATACTGCAATTTTTCTTTATCGTCAACAGAATAATAGTAATAATAAATAAATAATATTTAAAATTTTAAATACAGGTATAAATAGTTTTAAAACAAAAATTAATACTATTAGTAGGTGAAGAGGCTTACAAACGTGTTGGAGAAAAAAAAATTATTCGGGACTTGTTATAGGCATACAACAACTTGTTCTTTGTGGCGATTGTTGTTTTGATAAATCAACTGTATCGGTAATAATTGGACGTTCAATTTTTGCTTCAATTTTCACCCAGGAAGCAACGGCAGCTTCAAATGCTTCCTGGACGTTTATTGCTGTCTTTGCTGATGTTTCTATTAGAGGAAGATCTCCATTTTCCATGCACCAGTTTTCGGCTTCTTCTCTCGAAACTTGTTTACTCGATTCATCTATATCCACCTTTGATAAAATATTTATATATTTGTTAATATATTTTGATTTCAATTTTAATTTCAATTAAGAAATTTCGAATTTTAAATGGTTTTGAAGTTGCCCGCCGACTAAGAGATACCAACTTTAAAATAAAAATGTAAAAAAATATACGTAAATTGTAAAACAACGAATCAACGATTGAACTTGATTTTAGATTGGTACTCCTTTTTGTTGACAACTTCAGAACATACGAGTCCAAAAATGACAGTTAAAAACAAAAATGTCGTTACAATCTTTGAATTTGGTTTGTTTAGATAAAAAGTTAAAGAAAAATATGTATACCTTATTTCCAACAACAACAAAAGGGAAGGACGATCCCTCTTGTATTCCGGCGTACAAAAGAAATTCCGATTTCCATGAGGACAAATTATTAAATGTATTTTTATCATCGATGGCGTACGTTAAAAGGCAAATATCTGATCCTCTATAAAAGGGAGTTCTCAGTGTTCGGAATCTTTCTTGGCCGGCAGTGTCCCAAATTTGTAAGGTATACGCTTCTCCATTAACTTCAATATCTTTGTTTAAAAATTCAACACCTATTGTGTGATAACCACACTGATTAAAATTATTCGAAACAAAACGATTCATCAAGCAGGTTTTTCCAACTAAACCATCTCCTAAAATAACAACTTTTAAAAGTGTCGTTCTTTGGACATTTCTGTTTTGTAAATTATTTCTCTGCGAACCCATTTTTTATTCCTTCTTGCTAAACTACTTGGCACTTTTATAATTATCCCTTCAGATACCTTTGAATATTATTATCTTTCTGACATTCTTCAATTGTTTTTATTTATACGAATTCGTTATTTATATTGTACATTATTTACAGAATTGAGACGAATTGATCGTGGAATACTTTTGGTTTTGATGATTCTTGGTTCCTCAGCAAGAGAGAGTGAAAAGTCCGATCAATAATAAACTTGAATACATAACCTCCTTTCTAACTTCTTTTTGGTTGGAAAATAGAGTTCAATTTAATGATTTACATTTATAAATTGAATGAAAATGTGAGTTTTTTTTCAATTCTTTGGCAGTATTTTGATATTTAAACGGAAAAGTTGAAACTGTGGTATTTGACAGATATAATTTATTCAACATGACTCATCAGCACTGTTCCGATATTATTTTCGTTTCATTTATGGATAAATTTATCCCTTGCTTTGAATTTATTGGTGTTATTAATCAAAAAACTATTGCACTACTGTGAGACAAATTTACAAAAAACTAATTACATGTTTGTTCGTTTAATTTCACTTGATTCCGGAGCTATTACGAGATTTGTTTTGATCGACATTTTTGTATCACACACTGTTTTACCCATAGGTTTTACCTTTCAAGCATTTATATTGATTGTCATTTGAGAGTATTTTCTATTTTTATTTTGATTTTAAAATGTCTTTGTTGTGTTTTTTGCATCAATTTTAAAGAAAATTAAATTAGAATCTAAGTACATAACTACTTTTTAAAAAATTCGGTTCTATTTATAATTTATTTACTGTTATACATTTATTTTTATTTCATTTATTGTGTTCATTTTTTTCATTTATTATTTCTTTTCATATATTATTTACTATATTTAAATAATATATTTTTTTGCATTTTCTTTTATTATTTTTTGTTATAAAATTAAGTTAAAATTTATATTTTGCAGGAATCTTCTTTTACTGGTCAATCAATTACCGATGCGAGGGATAAATAAATTTTCGAAAACTGGAATGGAATGAAAATGTCAAAATCAGAAGGAAATTTCTACTTATTTTAAAAGGTAGGACAATTTTCGTAAAAAATTTAAATTTTCCAGTTTATCATTTCGCACTGTCGATAATAATTTTACGCTGCTACATTATTTCCCAACTACCAGTGTAAGATGTCGTTAAGAAAACAAATCTCCCCTTCTTTTTATTTGCAAAAGAAGCAAAAGTTTAAAAATATTATTAAAATTCGTAAAAATTACTATGATTACCATTCAGTATAGTTTTTGGTTTTTGCTGTGATTTTATTTTCCGGAATACTTTTTAGTATTAACAACAATAAATAATCTGCCAAGACAAAAATTGTGAGTAAGTGAAAGAAATTTAAACTTATATAATTTAGATTTATTTTTGTAATCTAAAGTATACAATTCATAGAAATGAGAAAAATTATGAAATTAAATTTCGTTTTCGATTTTGCGCAGGATGGAGGACGAGAATTCGGTTTATGCGACTTTCGTTCCTGCATGCAACCTTGATCCAGAAATATGCTTCGCGTTTGAGGCAATTAAATGCATTAGCCTTCACTTCGCTGTTGCTTTGATTAAACTTTGTGTAACATTTATCAAAGCTTTAGAGAACTGTCTCTAATTTTATCAGAAAGTTAGATTCATTTGGAGAACGAAACTTCAAAGTGAAACCAAATTTTGCCCTTTTAATTCAATCAGAAAATATTTTTGATAGAGGCAAAAAATTTAGTGACTATTTTACAATTTACGGAAAAATGTTCCGAACAACTTTATTTTCGTATTGGAAATAATTTTTTTATAAAATATTTCTTTTAATTCTATTTTTTTATTTCATTTTTCTTTTTAAATTTAAATTAAATTTAAATTTATTTTTTGTTTCATTCTAGTTTTCTTCTTTTTATCTTTTATTCTCTTTTTCAATATTTACATTAAATAAATATTTATTTATTATATTATATTATAAAATATTTCTTTTAATTCTATTTTTTTATTTCATCCTTTTTTTAAATTTAAATTAAATTTATTTTAGTTTTCTTTTTATTTTTTATTCTCTCTTTCAATATTTACATAAAATACCTACAGTTTATTATTTTCTCGTCTGACTTTTCACTTTTTCAATTTAAAATCACTTTTTGGTACATTTTTCCTGAATGTAAAATGTCTGTTTTTTTGGAATCTCTATAAAGTATCAATTTTTGTAAAAACTGTCCTCCAATTTATCAAATAAGAATTTTCATAAATCTTTACGAAAATTCTTTTTTTTAATTTAGTAGATTAATTCGGATAGGAAATTAAAAATATAGTAAACAAACTTTACTATTTAAAAATTACAATTTGAAATTTAAAATTGCGCGACTTTTCAGTATAATATTCAAAATATAATCGAAATGAATATTTTTTTTGATAAATTCTTTTCTGATTATAGAATCTCATTATATTTTCGCCTTCTCTCTTTATTCCCAAGATTTTAAAGAATTGAACAAATTAAATCCACTCCATTTTCAATTATTCGCTCTCGCACTTTGCCTCTTGTAAAATTTTTTCAAAATATCTTCCTCCAGAGAAAAGTTTTAAAATCCAATTGTAATTTCCAACAAAATATTGCGTCGATTTTCATATGACTTCGTCATTATAATTTAATTTTTTAAAATTAAATTTTGAAAACTCTTTGCTTTGGAAATAAATTTTTCCCTAATATCTATAATAATTTAGAGACAAAAACCTTGAAAAAGAGACACCGGAAGTAAACAGGAAGTCCATGTTTAGGACACTAGACACAAAGAGAGGTTGCACAATCTTTTATATATGTATATACACAGTATATTTATATATAGTGCGTGTGAGTCTCTTTGAAAAAAAGGACATTTGTACTGGAAAGAAAAAAATAAACTTTTCCTGCTTTGTCATATTAGGAGAATTCACCATAGATGTATAGCAAATAATTCCAAGAGTATGGTGTTTGTACACCGCGATATTTGGAACTAACACGTGGAAATCCTTCAAGTGTTCCCAGGACACCAGCATTATTGCGAAAGTCATCCTGAAGGAACACTTTTGATCCTTATGGTCACCTGGTGTCTAAGGGTACGCGCTGGTTCAACTCGTTCTCAAATATTAAAAAGGACATTTTCCTTTCTAGTTTTCCGCCATAAATTATGTTTCAAATACTAAATAATGTCCGGCAATTTTTTTTTATTATAAATTCTTAGTTTACAAATGGGGAGGTATGAAATTAAATAAATGAATTCGAATATTTACATTCATGTATATTTTATATATATTTTTCTCTCTCTTTTTCTCTCTGTTTCTGTCTGTCTCTATCTTTCCCTTTCTCTCTCTTTCTCTCCATGTCTCTCTCTCTCTCTTTATTGTATGTATATATATATATATATATATATAATTATTTGAAAGTATATATAATGTTAATCAACAAACAAGTGAATTAACAATATAATAAAATTATTATAACGGGAAATAATTGTTATTTGAAAGGTAATTGAGTCGGGGGATAATGATGCGAGTGGAGCATAAATTATTCCAAGGACTTCGAAATGAATTGGACGCTTTCGTATCAGGGGAGAATGAAGAATTAAGTCCTTTGAGCTTGCGCAACTTTCCATCAAGGATATAAGGCTACTTTCTCTTTTGCTGGTCGATACCATTACCTACATGGGAAAAAAGAAAAAAAAGCAGTAATGGATGGAGTGAGAAGGAAGGAAAAAGAAAAAAGTAAAGAGAAAAGAAAAAAAGAAATAGAAAAAGAAAGAAAGAAAACAAAAAGGAATAGAAAAAGAAAGAAAAAAGGAAAAAAACAGACAAGAAAAGAAACAAAAAAAGAAGGAAGAAGAAAAAAAGAGGGAAGTAAAGTAATAGAATGAGAAAGAGAAAGAGAGAAGCAGAGAAAAAAAGAAAGACGAAGAAAAAGGAAAAAGGAGCAAAAAGTAAAAAGAGAGTAAAAAACAGAAAAAGACGAAAAAACAGAAAGAGAGAGAGAGAGAGAAATAGAGAAAAAGAGGGAGAAAAGAGAGAAGCAGAGAAAAAAAGAAAATATGAAAAAAGAAGAGAAAGGAAAAAAGGAGCAAAAAAGAAAAAGAGAGTAAAAAACAGAAAAGGACGAAAAAACAGAAAGAGAGACAGAGAGAAGAGAGAGAGAGAGAGAGAGAGAGAGAGAAAAAGAGCGAAGTATAAGACTAGTAACGGAAAAGAGAGAAATAAAACATCTCCAGAAATAAATTCCCCCGCCTTCAATTGAAATATTTTACTCGAGAATTTAATTTCTCGAGAAATTAAAAAAATTGAAAAATTAAATTTTTTTTCTTTACATATTTAAAAAGAGAGATAAAATGAGATTTAAAATTTTATTTTCCCGATGGCTTTATTCTACCCTCGGCGATTTGAGAGAAGAGGGATGAAAAATGATCACTCTTCGAATGGAATTCGTCAATGTCACAAGTGAGTTACGCCAGAAGCATTCCCTGCACCAGGAAGTCATAAATTGTAAAATAGCATGGTTAGAATTTTATTGTCCGCTTTTACCTTTCCTTTCTAGAAGAAGAAATGGACTTTCCTTTGCATCAGGAGAACATCTAATGTTAGAAGGATGTAAAAGCTCACGAACTCATTTTTTTCAACTTGTGTGCTTTCACTCCAGTTAAGGTCCAAGATTTTTATTTTTAATGGTTCGTAATTTGTTTTTGCTGTTGGCAGTGGAAAAAGGGTGTTTTATGGTCAGACGTACTATTTTTGTCCAGGAAAAGAAAATTTGTTTATCAATTTAAAAATATTATTATTTACGTAAACAAATATAAATATTATTTTCAATATTTTAACGTTATTTCTGTTATTTTAATGTTATTTCTATTTTTTTAACATTATTTTTATTATTTTAATACTATTTCTATTATTTTAATACTATTTTTATTATTTTAATACTATTTTTATTGTTTTAGTATTATTTTTATTATTTTAATATTATTTTTCGTTAAAATGTGGTCTTCGCAGTGGAAAAGTGAGTTTTTAGTCAGACGAGCTTTCACAGTTAAAATGTGTCAGGGGAAAATTATTTTTATTCAGACGGATTATTCCGCTATGCAAACAAGTGATTTCATTCACTTTTCAGTGGAACAAACGTTTTTAAGTCAGACAAATGATTTTATCGTCGAAAATAAATTTTTGCAGTAGAATAGAAATTTTGTAGTCAGACGAATTACTCCCGTGTTTATAATATTCACTAAAAGAATCGATTTTTATCGGATGGATTATTTTTAGATAAATAATTTTTGTCAGTGAAAGAAGTCAATTTTAGTCAGACAAATTATTTTAGAATGGAAATAATTTTCAGTAGAAGAAACGAATTATTTTAAGTATAAATATCCTTGCAGTGGAAAAAACCTTTTTGAGTCAGACAAATTATTTTGGTGAATATAATCGTCAGTGGAAGAAATTATATATAGTGAGACGTACAATTTACTCACAGTCAGTAAAAAATAATTTTTTAATTAAAGAAATTATGTGATTAAAATCAATTTCTAGTGGAAAAAGTATTTTTATTCAGCCTTTTTTCACTTTACATTTAATTTTTAGTGGATGAAACGATTTA